GAACCGGCATCAGTGCAACAGTCACCTCGGGGCCTCTCGCCCACGTGGGACTTTGGACGTTTCTTCAGTCCCATGTGGATCTAGCCAAACATTGCACAGCCTTTCTTGGGGGAAACAAGCTTCTGCGCTGTGTTGTGCCTTGTGCAAAGGAAGCTTTCATGGCATACCATCCATGTGTTGCTGCACCTCTGCATTGCATTGCACGCAGGAGCTGCAGAAATGGGTGTCAAGGTAGAAGCAGGAAAATGCAGAGCGCCATTTGGATGGGTAGCGAGATGAGTGGAAAAAGTAGATGGGGTCTGCGCTCCAGTCTGAACCCGAAGCCAGTCCCCACGGAAGATAGGAAAGCAGCCAACAGGATCTCCATCGGTGTCATGTGCCATATGCAAGGTTAGCAGGACATCCTACGAGCCACCTGGACGGGACCAAAGATGGTAAACACAGCTGGCTTTGTTGGGTGTCTTGCTGTCCACACGTCTGACTGGAAGAGCATTTGTCCATGTCTTGGTCGGGATAATGGTTTGTGGTATATGTTCGATGGTCTGAGGCGTCCGAGTACCAAGCAGTGCAAACAAGAAGGGGAGGCATGGATGAAAAGCGAGACACGAAGCGCAGGGGAGCCTAACCTTGCAGTAAGATAACGGCCGCTGTGAGACTGCCAAGTTATTTTTGCATCGTAGTAAGAATAAGGCTCAGCGAGGAGTGCAGAGTTGCTCCTAGTTGCATCAGGAAGGTCATGTATAAGCCCCTGTCGTTGCAACTTCCTCGCCCTCGCGCACAGCTTCCACCTCTGCTGGGTACATTAATCCCGCGCAGGCTGCTACAGCACTGCTCAAGGACTTCCAGGATCAAGGCCCATGTCTCTTCTGTCCTCAGGATGCCAAGGGAAGGGTACAAAAGGAGAAAACCTGCTCACTCCCATCCGGCTGTCCCACCAGTTATGGGAACAAGAGAATCGCAGGCAAACGGCTGTATCCGGTGCTTACGCTTTTCTCTTTTAGGGGCACTGGGGTTGGAAGCCATGTGGGCTCATTGCCCATCTGTATTATCCCTCCACTCTCCCATCTTTGCCATTTGTTTTAGGCTAAAAATATAACCCAAGTGCAAAGCCAGCTGGCTCCATGCTCCACCCATGCGTGTGCTGGTGGGGAGGCGTGCATGCTACGGGGATTGTTGCACAAACGCACGTGCTGTGTGTGAGTGGCTGTGTAAGAGAAATGGGGTGGCCACCTTCCTGTTGGCTTCAGGGAGAGCAGGATTCGGCCCAGCGTGCACGGTGAGAGCTGCTGAGTGCTCCCCTGTATCCGAACGCTTCTCACGGCTTTCCGCCGGTGGATGTTGTGTCGTCTAGCAGAGCTCTTTGGGTTTGGGAAAGGCTTTGTGCAGGGTGAGCCGGTCTTCCCAGTTGAATTTAAGTAAGAACAGTTAACCTCCCTGTTGCCTGGCTGGCGAGGAGCTGAACCCTGCGCCATCCAGGAGAGGTGTCCTGCCCTCTCCCTTGTCACGCGGGGCCGGACGGTCTCTCCAGCTTGCATCGTTCTTCACCCCATGCAAAACCGGTGTTTGATTCAGAACGTGGCTTTGTCAATGAACCGCGCGAGGGGAAATCAGCTTGCAGTGACTGTAGAAAGGAGATGACCTGCGAGCAGAGAGCTGAAGCCGCCTTCGGTCCAGGCGAAGGGCTGCTCTGGGTAGAACCGAAATGCCCCGCTTTCCCCGCTCCCGTCAGCCCATGCACCTGCACGGTGTCTCTCTTTGGTCCTGCCTTGGTCTGACATGTTGAACTGTTTCTTTGAGTGAATGAAAATCATCTTCTGCACCTGTCCTTTTTACTGAGGGTGGTGGTTCTCCCGCCTCTCCTTTCTGGCCTCTGCCATTTCTTCCCATCCTTTGCGCGCTTGTCAAGGGCTGGTAAGCTTTATGTTGAGGCTTTCTGCCAAGAAAATATAAACTGTATCTCGACGGTTGTCTTTGTCATGCTCACAAATTCCACTCAAGCATACCCTTTCCTTCTCATTTACCATATGATTATAACCAACAGGCTCGGTGCTCCGTACCACCACTATAACAGCGACATCCTAGAAAGGTAATAAAGAGAAGAGGCTAGATTTTTCCTCTGTATTTTAGCAGATACGTTTTGCATTCCCTAAAATGTCACATTTACAAAGTCTTGGCTGGGTGCAAAATACAAGTGCTCCGAAACCTGTTTCATGCATTGTAAATTGAAACTGCAATCCTGCTTAATTAACAAACAGCATGAACGCTGCATTATCCACCAGACTTTCTACATGGATATAAATTTCTCTCTTTATGACAGCACTGGGTTCGCTCTGCAGCCTTCTGATCACAGCAGTGTAAGAATTGAGTCAAAATGACTAACTTCAGCAACTGCTTAATGTAGAAAGCTGCTTTTCCTTGCTGCCGTGCAATGGTGGACAGTGTTAAAGGTGAAAGGGAGCAAACACAGCCGTGCCAAGATAGTGTAAAAAGGTTTTGTATTTTCCAAGCTGCTCTCAGAGTCTGTGAAGAGGCAAGTGCATGCTCATCTGCATCTAGAAAATACATCTATTGAAGTTAATCAGAGGTGACAAGCTATATCTGATTTGCTTTTTTGTTTTGTGAATGTGTATCCAATGGTAGGAATATTATAATCTGGGCCATAAATTTGATAATCATGTGTCCTCAGTATGTCACTCTACTCCACTGTGGCCTGCAGAAAACAACCAGGGAGAACGGTCATGCCAAGCTATTCAAATTTGCTTTTCCAACACTGCTTCAAGCGTCAGTTCATGCTGGACCCTGTCACACCAATGACACAAGACCACACCTGCCATCAGGCCAGGGTCCGGGGCGGGAAGGACAGCACGTTATACTTTGCTGAACTCCAGATCCCTTCATTACCTCCTTCATCCTTCCTTCCTCCCTCACTTACTTCTTTCTAGCAGCCCCAGCAATAGCTGAGCTTTGAACACTGTTCACATAGTAATTGAGCTGGACAGACTGCAAGAGTCCAGGAAGGCAGAGGACACGGGGAGCCAGTGGCATTTAGTGGAGGATTGTGAGTGCCTGATCTCAAAAGGCCGGATGCATTGCATAGTGAAATCAATGGGAATCTTTCCACTGATTTCAGTAGGGTTGGGTCAGGCCAACTAAGTCTCCACAAGCCTTTACACAACATAAAAAGTGGTCATTTGAGAGAACCTGGGTGCTAATATGTTGTGTTTCCTCCTCCGGCTACTAATATTGGGCTTAAAGCCAACCAAGAGTTGGGGTCCTTTTGTGCATGGGAATGCACACATGCAGAGTAGAGGCAGTCGGGCTGTGTGAAGTTTCCGGTGCTGATTCGATTCGGAGGAGATTCAGCCCGATTCGGTGGCTGAATCACCAAATCCAAATTGAATCAGGGGACCAGTTAAAAGGTCTGACTTGATTTGAAGCTCTCCGAATCGATTCGGAAAAGATTTGGAGAGCTTCTATGATTCGGGCGGTCCTTGGTGGCTGCAGCAGGGAGCTGGAGCCAGACATGGAGCTCGTAAGTAGGGGCAGGGAGGGGACCATGGGGACTCCCCCAACCCCCCATGGCTGCCCTGCCTGCCTCAGCTCCTGGTCCTTTTAAAAAAAAAAAAAAAAAAACCCCCCCCCCCCCCGGGCGCCCACGCGGGGGTGGGGGGCAACCCCTGTTGCTCCCCACTGCCCCACGCTGCATGGGGGGCTCTGTCGTGAGCCCCCTGACCCCCCTCCCTGCTCCACCAGCCCCCGCCATGGCTGTCCTGCTCGCCCCAGCTCCTGCCCTTTAAGGAAAAAAAAACCCCGAACTCACCAGCTCCTGCAGCAGCCTTGGGGCTTCGTGGGGCTCGTGGAAGAGCCCCCCATGCAGCGTGGGGGAGCAGCGGACC